CCGTGTACTCGATTACATGGTGCAACTACAAAGCATCATCCTATGTCTCACGCCTTTTTCCTTACAAAACCTCTTGTTTCTAACAGCATATTCGAGTCTACGCTCTTTAAAAACACGCACTACCAACGACAGTCGCAACAATGCAACACAAAAAAAAATTAGTGAAGAAGATAATAAAAATGCCACAGAACATCTAACGTTCCATCCTTTGAAAACAAACATGTCCAATACTGATCCACATAAGAAAACAAGACTCAAACACCTTGCACGTCAAGACCACTCAAAAAAGTTCAAAGAAACGTTACCAGAGCCAGTTCAAAAGACACAAACTGTGGAGAGTTAAAAAACACACGCAAATGCATCAGCGAATATTCAACACGTCCATCTACAGAGTCTACCACACGATGAAACTATCAGAAATTCAAAAACACAAACATATACACCAAAAAAAATCGAACACGGGTGACCGGCCTTTGTTCACGAACCCCGTGAATGGTGAACGGGGGTACGGCACTGCCGGGCGTTCTATTCGGATGAAGATGGTACTGTTTGTCGTCTTCAGTCCTTGGCCGGCGCTTTTTTTGGACATCGCAATCACGGCCATAGCCAATCCTCCTCGTCGTCCTCGTCGTCGTCATCCGAACAGGTCGTCTCTTTTTTTGGTGGGGGGAGGGAAAACAGGTCGTTTTCCTTCTCCTCGGCTGTTTGTTGACGAGTGTCTGATTTTAAGGTAGTATTTTTAGTTAATTTTTTTTTCTCTTTTTTTTCTGAAAAGTACTCTCTATTTAAGAGGGCATGCTGGCGGGACTGGGGACTGATCCGGGGAAGCGGTATTTGCTGGCATTAAACCTATGCCCTGTCTTGCGATGTCCGTCACCAACATTTGAGCGGCGCCAGATGCGGACGTCTGGGTGTACATGCCGCCATTGTGCTGAAATTGGGTACCCATAGCTTCGGGATACTGAAAGCCAGCCCTTGCTGTGAAAAGTAGCTCCATGACGACGGTGGAAGACGTCCGTCAAACCTCCGTTGCGTAGATTCGCTTCCCTTGCCCCCTGCTTCGTGATAATTACACGACCCTGCCACATCACCGTACAACTCGTCAGTGAAACTGCGGCCATCCATGGCTGCACGCAACACCCGACGACGCCACTGCGAAGAAGTACCATGGATCTACCGCCGTGTGGCCAGGAAAGCAATAGCGACAAGGGATGCAGCAATCCCCAGCAACGGAAGCAAAGCTACAAATGCGGATGCAACAATCAGCAACCCCCAAACACCCATGCCCAGCAAAGACAAAGTTTAACGCTTCCTGTCATCGTCAATGATGACAATCACTGGATGACGGCCGATTCGAACCTTCCCCAGCTTTCCTGTCTGCACAGGGAAAGCGATGCACAGAAGTCAGCACCGGTGCACCACTGACGGACAACTATTTGTCCAATCCCCGCGTATGTTGGCCGTGCCGCGCTGGTAAGTGATCCTCACGCACTATGATGTGCCCGACATAATGTGGAACAGCCCCCGCTACGTCAGCAACATCTGGTATCAAGCTCCACCTTCCACCACGGACGAATGCAGGACGGATGCTGATGTCCACCACCACATGGGCTGCCGCACACACGGAAGAAGGGCGAGTGATGGAGGCACAGGTTTCAGCAAGTGCTCTGCAAACACCCAGCAGTGCACGGGACTGTTCCGCGGTCAGACAGCCTCCCGGCATGCACGTACTTACTGGCGATGTCATGTGCACGACAGCATGCCGACGTCCACGCTGCAGGACGACTGCCGAAAGACATGTATGGAATCCGGTGGGCAATGGGGCAACGACGACGGAGGCACGACCGGCCTTGGGCAATGGCAATGAATACGTGCACACACGTAGATGACCGTCACAAAAGCGTGCAGTGGCAGCGATCGACGGACGTTGGACGGCTGATGACGACAAGGGCAACGCAGGGTATCGGTGCCTTTTTGAATTCAAATTTCGAAATGGAAGATTGGTTCTCGCCCGCTTTTTGCTTGTCTTGAACCTGCAATGGGATGGAAGGCCCCGGGCCCATGCCGCCGTGCGACAATTCTCTTCAGGTTTCGCCGGTACCGCCGTGCGACAATTAGCTTCAGGGTCACATGTTCCACCGAAGTCGGACAATGCATGGACGGACAATCCGTGGTTCGTCCACAGGACCTGGTTTTGCAGAAGTTCAAGACAGCTCTGGGGGCCGCCAACCTCGGCTTTTGGCACAAATTTGCGGCGTCATTTCCTCCGGTTGCCGTTTTCCAGACCGAGGACCATGTGAAAACGTCCACAAGCTATCTTCCAAGCCACAAAATGCGGGCTGTGGGGTCCCGAAATACAGTTTTTCGAAGACATTTATTTCGGCCTTTCCATAAACTTTTTCGCGAGGTGTGGGGTCCCGCAAACACTTCGACGGCAAAGTTTTTCCTTTCCGCATTCCTGTGGGGTCCGACCGTTAGCCGGGTACATTCCTGGAAGTACTGGTGTGAGGAAAACTCGTTGTTGGCCTTCCCGAGGTCGTTTTTGTCTACACAGTTGCTCTTTTTTTTCTTTTTTTCCCCTTGAAATAGGCCCATAGGCCACAGGCCACCGACCCTCTGGCGGACCCCCAAAACTTCAGGGAAAATGGGAAAACTGCCAGTTTTCCCATTTCCCCCAGGCTCAGAGGTAGCTACGCTTTCGAAGAATGAAAAAACTACATGTAGGAAGGATACTTCACGCCACAAGTCACAGCAAGACACGACCCCCTCCCGCCACCCTTTCCAAAAGAAAACTCAACTACGGCCCGCATGTTGTGAGAAATATGATACAATGGCGACTGCATCTCCAGCCATACTCAGACCACGGCAACCATTTTCCTGCGACCCTTTTCCCGTTTGTCTACAGTAACTTGGCCGTTGGGACCACAGACCATGTGCGCAATCGCACAGGCCGCTTATCATTTCAGGCTGCAGAGTGTCTGTACCAGTGCAGTTCAGTCAGTCCTCTGTCCATGCAACCCAGCTGCAGTCCATCGTTTATTTGCCTTTTACACTGCAAGTCTTGGAGTATCCATGTACGGTGTCAGTGTGAGGTCATTGTTTGTTAGCCTTTTACACTGCAAGACTACGAGTCCTGGAGTACTTATGTACAGTGTGAGTGTGAGTGTGTGAGATGTGTGCTGTTGCCATCACCCTCTCTCTTAGAGCGTCTCGATCTCATCTCCAGCTGAAAATAGTAAAATACACCCCAACTCTTTTACCTACGGACCTAAGTTGAGCACTGAAAACCCTGACGCTTGGGAAAATGCCAATGTTTCTGATTTTCTTTTTTTTTCTCGGTCCAAGTTCAAAACAAGATAAAATTCAATTAGTCCCAAAAAGAGCATGAGAGTGAGAAAAAGGTTAAAGGGAGAAAAAAAAAAAAAAAGAGCATGAGACGAAAGGATGACAAACTCGGACAAAGACAAAGAGAGGGGTCATACCATCACAGTGTCACAAATAAAAAAGGGCATAAGACTCCCACTCCATTGCACAACATGCATCTGGACAGAGCCAAAAAAGTACCTGGACGTATCATTGATCACGTTCAAAATGTTTGATGTCAATGACCACGTTCAACATAATTGGTTTGTCCGAATGTTCGTACTTCGGTCCAGATACATGACGACATCAAATGGACTCGGTGGAGCAAGGCCAATAACCTCATGGTTGCCTTCGATTGAGACACCAAAAAACCAAATTTGCTTTGAAGTTTGAACTATAAATTACCCCCCCAAAACGAAAACAAAATGTCTTCCCCCTGCTGACTTCGAAAAGCACAGGAAAGCTGAGGAAGCTAAAAGAACCGAGGGGGAAAAAAAAACACAAAGAAAAGAAAAGAAAAAAAAAAGGGTTAATTTCAAAAATGTTGCTGTTTCGAAGTTTGGCAGCAAAAATATCTTCCGTTCGAAGTTTCCTTTGCAAAAATAGATGTTTCGTTGCAGCTTTATCGCGTTCCCATAGTTTGCCAGCAAAAATACCGCGTTTTTCCCAGTTTCCCAGCAAAGAACCCCTACGCCCCTGACCTCAGGCACTCAGGGACTCAGCGTTCTGGTCTGAGGCACTCAGCTTTTTTTTTTTTTTTTTTTTTTTCCCACGTATGTGGCCGAGGCATCTCGGCCGTGGCCACCCAGAGATGCCTCGGCCACGTATCTTTTTTTTTTTTTTTTTTTTTTTTTTGTTTGTTTGTCGCGGCCGTGGCAGAGGCATCTCGGCCGTGGGCATGCCCAGATGCATCGGCCATGCCCCGAAAAAAAAAAAAAAAACAAACAACGCTGAGTGCCTCAGGCCAGAACACCGAGTCCCTGAGTCCCTGAGGCCAGAGGCCTAGCGGTCCTTTGCCGTGAAACTGGGCAAAACGCGGTATTTTTGCTGGCAAACTATGGGAACGCGATAAAGCTGCAACGAAACCTCTATTTTTGCGAAGGAAACTTCAAAGACGACATTTTTGCTGCCAAACTTCGAAACAGCAATATTTTTACTATTAACCCAAAAAAAAACGAAAAGACCAGTGAGAATACCCCCCAAAACGAAAACAAAATGTTTTCCCCCTGCCGAATCTGAAAAGCACAGGAAAGTTGAGGAAGCTAAAAGAACCCCGGCCAAGTCCCACTTGCCCAATTCTCAATTTCTGACCGTAGATTAGGAAGATCAACAGCCAGAAACGAAGAATCAGCCTAAGTGGGGACTTGGCCCCCGAGGGGGGAAAAGAAAAACAAAAAACAAAAACAAACGAAAAGACCCGTCAGAAAAAGACGGGATCAAAGAGGCCAACGTTAAGAAAAGGCACAAGATCAAAGCCAGGACGGAAGAGGAAAGGAGAATCGAGACAAAGCAAGCACCAGAACGTTTTATTTACAGAAACTTGCCTCCTAGCCTCCCACCCCCCAAAAAATACTGTTCAGTGCTCAGTGATCAAATTTGAAGCAGGGGCAAAATGGCAAACTGCTGTTCAAAGTACGGTCAAAGTGTGCAATATGCTATACAAAGCCAGGTCGAAATGACATAATTTTGTGTGAAGCGCTGTTCAAAAGGTGAAAATGTTCACTGAAATGAACCTCTAACTTCCAAGGACATACTACTCCTCCAAGAAATTATCAATTGTTTTCTGGACGTAATTACAGTCAGATGCATCCAGGTATACACATACTAATTGCGCTGGGATACATCAAAGAAAAGTGCTAACGTGATTACAACCCAACAGTTGTCAACCAGAAATTATCAATTGTTCTCTGGACGTAATTACAGTCAGATGCATCCAGGTATACCCGTAATAATTGCGATGGGATACATCAAGAAAAGTGCTAACGTGATTATGACCCAACAGTTAAACCAAATGATCCCCCTGAGCCTGAGGCACTCTGCTGTTCCTCCTTTCACACTTTGACACCAACGACAACCAACCAAACCGGTAAGGCTGTCAAAAAACCAACTTCCCCAATGGACCCTGAAATGGGCTCCTCCCCCTGAGGCGGTGAGGCCCTCTGCAGAGTCTGCTGTTCTTTCTTTTCACACTTTGACACTAAGTCCTCCTTTTCCTAGGATAACCAACCAAACCGGTAGGGCTGTCAAAAAAACAACTTCCCCAATGGACCCTGAAATCGGCTCCTCCCCCTGAGGCGGTGAGGCCCTCTGCTCAGTCTGCTGTTCCTTCTTTTCACACTTCTGACGCTAGCAAGTCTTCCTCCTTTTCCTAGGACAACCAACCAAACCGGTAGGGCTGTCAAAACCCAACTTCCTCCAACGGACCATGAAATCGGCTCCCCCTGAGGCACTCTGCTCAGTCTGCTGTTCCTTCTTTTCACACTTTTGACGCTAGCAAGTCTTCCTCCTTTTCCTAGGACAACCAACCAAACCGGTAAGGTTGTCAAAAACCAACTTCCCCAACAGACGCTGAAATCGTCTTTACCACTTTCGACACTTTTTTTTTCTTTCTTTCCCCGCAGGACAAACAATTAAGCCGGTCGCCGGTCACGGCGGGGTAGCGACCGTCGATCAACACAAGAAAGGACTGCACCGCAGTCTGTCAATTTCACATCCACTGCAGTGCAGGCACTGCAGGGTGGTGGTCCTCAACCGACCAACAAAAGCGTCGATGACATTCGATCTCCAAAAGTCTAAAAGATGACTCTGACACGATTCTATACACTTCTCTCCAGGGTTCGAACCCGGAACCACTGGTTCTCTCACAACCCTGACATGGGACTAAAAGTTGATGGGACATGGGACTAAAAGTTACTTGGTCCCAAGTTCCCAACCTATGCGGCTATGGCCTTGAAGTTCTCTCCACTGGCAGAGGGTTCGAAGTTCAAACCTCGGAAGTCGGAACCAACACTTCTCTGGAAACCCTGCTTGCTTCCAACCTTCGCCCTTCTCTGCAGAACCAGGGTTCAAACCCAGAAGGGCCAGAACCAATCTTTCTCTGCCAGAACTATCCTTTCTCTCGAAACCCACAATGAGAAACTGCTTGGTTCCAAGTTGCAACCCGTGGTTCCAACCCATGGACGAGGTCCAGCAGCTCAAAGCGATGCCCGCACAACTGAAGATTTAATCCAAAAACTAGCTGGGGGCTTTACAATCGCAAACGATGATACCAACTGTACTCTGACACAGATGCCAGTCGCATGCACCTGTGACTAACATCCTCTCATGTATTGTTCAGAGTTTTCAGACTATATACACACTATCACACAGGCATATCTGGTCGGTCAGCTACATAGCAGCTCTGTTACCGATGTTACGTACTGACTTGGACCCAATGGTAGGCTACTAGGCACAGTCTCCCTGACTCCCTAAGTGACTGAGTCCCGGAGCAACATACAGCGTTCCGCGCACAACCACATTATGGACCACATACCCACTTCGGTGAACAACCACGTACTGAATTTGTCTAACAACCAAATAGCAAATCTGGTAAACTCAACTCATTACTATCATGCATTCTAAGTTTGATGCCCCACGGTATACCCACACGGTCACACCCTATGCTGGGGGCTCACGACTCCCTAACCGGCAATTCACTGTAGTTGGTTCCAGAAGCACAACTCTTGAACCGCCAGTTGCTATCCACACTAGCCTACATATTGTACAGCTTTTCTCACTTCCCTCTCGTCCACCGTTCTTCCCCCCACCCCCAACCCACCCCACCCCACGGTCCCCACCCCACCCTTATCGTCTTCGAAAACGGCCACTGAGGTCAGAAGGCTCCCTGCCCTGCGCTATTACATGTTTGGCTGAGGGGCCCGCGCTTCTCTTTCTTCGCCTTCTTGTGGCCCCCCTTCCCTCTCCTGTGTGCCTTGCTCCTCCTTGACATCCATAGCTACTGCACCTTCCTTCCCTTCTGAGGCTTCTGTCTTGCCCTCTCCCTCTCTCCCTGTCACGGTCTCTCTGCCACGAGTCTCTTCTGACTCAATCTCGACAACACGTACTTCCCCTTCTGGACGTTCAGTCTCTCCCACATCGACCGTCCTTGTGTCTGTACCAGCTACAGGCACGTCTGCACCCACACCTCCCACATCTGCAGCTGACACTGTGCGCGTTGTCACTTCAACGAGATCAACGGTTCCTGGAGCAGATCCAGGAAGCACGTAACTGTCGTAGGTCGTGGCACCTACACCCGTGGGCCCCACAGGTGCCACTACAGGGGCCACCCCAACCCCCATAACCCCATAAGTCGCGGTCATCGTTGTCTCAGGGGTTGCATAATATGTTCCAGGCATGGTCGTCGCCCCAGAGGTATCATAATATGCTCCAGGCGTGGTCACCCCCACATAAGGTGGATACACTGCACCTGGATATCCAATACCAACTCCTGCTGCAACAGGCGTTCCAAAAGTCCCAGTGCCTGCACCTCCCATGGGACCACCAAATGTCCCAACACCTGCTGCAACTGCAGTCGGACCAGCGACCCCTGCGGTGGGAGCAGTTGGTGTGCCCATCCCTGCAACAGGTGTTCCAAAAGTCCCCGTGCCTACACCTCCCATGGGACCACCAAATGTCCCAACACCAGCTGCAACTCCGGTCGGACTAGCAACCCCCGCAGTCAGAGCAGTCGGTGTGCTCATCCCTGCCGCTCCCAATATACCTTGACCCGCAGCGACTCCATAGTCGCCTCCCACTCCTGCACCCGACGGAACGTCCATCAAATCCGTTGACGCCACTTCAATGAAGACACGTGTAAGATCTCGCAGCCAAAAGGTATTGATATATGTGTTGCGCATTCTGTTGGCCGCGTCAGAGATGACCGGAGCCACAATGACTGCCACTTTGTTGTCGGCCGCAACGTTCATGTTGAGGATTGCACCCAGACCTCGAGCACCGTTCTCGATCCCGATAACTCTACTGCCAGTTACGTACTGTAGGGCAGCAGGCCAGCGGTAACAAACCGGGAAAATACAGAATGAGAAAAACATGCAGCACCAAAGCAGGGCACCAGAAGCACAAATCAGAAACAAAGAGGGGAAACAAAGAGGGGGGATTGGGTGCCACAGAGACAGTCAAGTGTATTCACACAAACGTTACACAAGGGGCCAGACAGCTATGTCCCGAGTGGTCATGACCGCGGGGTCGAACCCGACCTGCAAAAAAGGTTTAGCCAAAAATCTTAACACAAAAAAAGCCACACATCTTTATCTTTTTTTAACACAAAAAAGCCGAAAATCTTTAGGTTTTTTTTTTCGTTTTTGACACACACATACTGATTGATTAATTGATTGATTGATTGATTGGATACCAAAAAAAAAAAAGGGGCAGGAACACGCATGCACACATGTGTGTGTGCGTGTGTGCACAAAGGGGGGGGKGGGGGGACAACCCCTTCCCCGCCAATCAATCAACCAATCAATAAAAAAAAAATAAAAGAAATAAAAAGGAGTACGAAAAAAAAAAACAGTGGGTTCATTTGACCCGCGTGTGTGTGTGTCTGCTGCATGTGTGCGTGTGTGCGTGTGTGCGTATGTGTGTGGGTGTGTTTGGACACGCCAGGGGGGGGGGGGCGACCCCTCCCCCACCAATCAGTCGATCAATCACTCAAAAAACGGTTACGCAAAACGACAGTGGGTTCAATACCGGGTGTGTGCATGTGTGTGTCTTTGTGTGCATGTGCTGGCTGGAAAGGGGGGGGGGCGAGTCGCGCGACCCCTCCCCCACCAACCAATCAATCAATCAGTCAATCAGTCAATCAATCAGTCAATCAATCGAAAAATTAATCAATCAAGCAATCAGTCAATCACTCAAAAAAATTAATCAATCAAACACACAAATTCAATCAATCAATCGATTTTCTTATTTTTATTTTTTTAATTGTTTTTCACCCACAAACGCCGTAAGGGGTAGCATCGGGGTTCCGGAATGACATTGCGGGCATGACTGCAAGCCACGGTCATGACCACGGCGACCATGGATCGGGGGATTCAGTGCCAGGCAGTCGAACGAACAGCATGCACCAAGTCAAAAAGACATTAAACAAGGATGCAAGAACAATTTCATATAAGTGAAGTCATTGAACTTGATTGAAGTGCACTTAGTGAAGTATAATAAACCATCCATATACCTTGCGTTTCCTTCCTGGGTGAATGAAAACAGACACTGTCAGGTAGCTACCAGCTAGAAATGTGGCTTACTTGTAATGGGTTTAAATTGGAAACATTTAGAAAAGTCAATTTCTCCAACCGGTTTCCTGCCACAATCAGGCCGCGTAGCTGCACCCCTCGCCACCCACCAACATTCCACCATCCAACCACCACTACCTCCGAGCCGCTTTTCATTCACTGAGGTGGACCTGTGCAGTGTGCACCAAGCTTTCACAAGCACCAGCACAACATCTCAAGCACCAGCACAACATCTTTCTTCCCTTAGTTTGGGCTGGCACCGCCAGCCATTTATATCCCGTAAGCAGGGATCAGTGATCACCCAGAAATTGGCTTACTGTTCACCCAGAAATTGGCATCTGGATAGAGTCCTGCGAGGGGGGAAAGTCAATTTAAGTCATGGAAAAGAAATCACATAACACCCGAAGCTAACATGACGACATCCATCCTATTTACAACATAGCCTCTGCCCTTGGCCCCTTGAGCCTCACACCCTACACGGGCCTACTGCAAAAATTGATTGAAACTATACCAGCGCTGTTTTAGACCAGGTAGCAGGGACACACACAAATGCCTTAAAAAACATCTGAACACAGAAAACACCAAAGGGATTGAACTTGTTTTCTTTTTTTCTAGAGCAATGAACACAAATGACAATCAAGGATGCAAGCTGATTGCCGGACAAAACGGACAAGTAGCATTCGCAGCATTCGCTGTGGCGACGTGGGTTCTACACCACTCTACACTATATAGGTGGTCACAAAAAGACAGCAAGAAGTCCTGTTTGTACTTCCAGGATCCAGGTCCACTCTCAAAATCCGGGCGCTCGTTGTAGAGCTACTACGTGGAGTCTCCGATGAACAGCGGTCGAGGACTTCGAGGGGATAATCGGTGGAAAGCACCCACGTGGAAACCTTCTTGGTTTGGATGCCTGAAAAAACCCGGGCAGGAACTCGGCACCCAGGGACCCGCCCTGAGGCCGTTTTCCGTGGACGCTACCGGCCCCGCATGGGATGAAAATACCCCCGGATCATTTTGTCCGTGTGAATATCCCCGGATCACTTTGCCCGTGTGCATAGTACTGGCCTGGGCGGGCTTGATCCCCAGACTTTCCCCAACCCAGTGTACACTGTACAGTACGTTTGTGAACCCACGACCTGTCCCCAAACCCATGTATAAATGCCTTGTGTGCGAAGCCCAGGTTGTGTGGATTTGATCCGTAGGTCTGTTGCTTAAATCTTAGAGATCCGTAGGTTACCCGAAAAGGCAAGTTTACAGCTGACCTCTGAAATGTCACCCGGAGGCCATATCCCTGAGTTTTCTGTGGGCGCGCACTGCGCAATCTAAAGCTTGTGGCTGATTCTGGTTTAAGGAAGTAGTTACGCCATCTGCATCTGCATGCATGCACGTTGGACGTGATCCCTGAGTTTTCTGTGGGCGCGCACTGTGCAATC